TTCTTTCTTTCTTTCTTTCTTTCTTTCTTTCTTTCTTTCTTTCTTTCATTTTACTGTGGGAAGAACACTTACCATGAGGTCTATCCTCTTAGATTTATAAGTGTGGAATACAGTCTTGTTATCTCCAGGCACAATGTTGTACAACAGATCTCTAGAACTTAGTCATCTTTAATAACTGAGATTTTGCAGCCATTGATTAGCAATTCCCCATTTCCCTTGTCAGTCACTGGAGACCTATTTCTTTGTTTCTATAAGTTTGGCTATTTTAGGTACCTCATATAAGTAGACCCATATACTATTTTGTCCTTTTGTGACTTGCTTATTTAGCACAGTGTTCTCAAAGTTCACCCATGTTGTCATACATTATAGGAATTCATTATTTTTAAAGGCTAAATAGTATAATAATACAGATGTATGTATTACTTTTTCTTTATCCATCTGTCAGATATTTCCATTGTTTCCACATCTTGACTACTGTGAATAGTGTTGCACTGAATATGGAAGGGCTAATAACTTGTTGATATCTTGATTTTTCAATTCTTTGGATAAATGCTCAGAAGTGGGATTGTTGAATCATATGGTACTTCTATTTTAATTTTTTGAGGACTTCAATATTGGTTTCCATAGCAGGTGCACCATTTTACAATCCCACCAACACTGTTAGTGTGACCATTCACCTGAGCCCTGGACTCCATTTTCCCCAGGTCCTCAAGCATCCCCTCTGTATCTTGCATGTTCGGTCTCCCTTGCCTGCAAAAACCTCTGCTCTGCTCACAAACATGCAACTAAGGGATGTTACCGTGGATATAAACCGTGCTATTTTCTTAGGCTCCTTGAAAACATGAGTGTCTTCCTCAGTGATGAGTCCTTCATCATGAAATCACTTCCCATCTGCCTCCTCATTCCCAAATCAGTGTTTGTGCATAAGTATCAAACAAGGAGGGGGGGGAGGCCAGAAGCTGCCAGTCTCTCACCTTTTCTTTATCCCTCAGCCCATGGCCCCTGTTTCCCTATCTTTCCTTCTGGCCTCTCCTGAACTCTGGCTCTCAGGTGGGGTTGCTCTCCTTGAGGGTGCCATCCCTACGCGGGCCTCAAAAGGTATCGTGCCCTCTCCAACACCCAGTCTGGATGAGGTCAGAAAACACCTTTAGTGATTCCCTGAGGAACAACTAAGACCATCCAGAAACATTTCAACAAGACAGGACTGAACATTTGGGGTGAATAAGGGAATAACCCGAAGCCAAATTATCTGCCCAGCAAAGTAGGCTAGGTTTCCTCATAGACCTTCAGCCCGAGGATGCCTCCCTGCTAGTTCCCTGTGGCAAGGAGCATCTTTCTTCTATCTAGGAGCTTCTTCAAGTCCTTCTCAAACTCCTCTTGAAGTCCAGACTTAAGAAAGTGAGACCCAGAGATAGCTAACGATCCTCTCTCCTGCTTGCTTTCAAGTTTCATTGTCCTTGCTGAATTACCACCTTTCCTGATGCCCAAATGTCCACCCTGCTCATGGTACGTGGGTCAGGCCTTGGCCTGTGGCCTGAATAGGCCAAACCCTTCCAGATACAACATAATAAATGCAACCTCTATAGGAGACACAGGCATAGCCAGGCAAGTATAATTTTGTTATAGAATCACCATTTAAGACTATCATTGACCCCTCAATTACTAAATTCACTGGCCTCCTCTTGGTTTTCCTTCTCTTCTCTTCTCACTGAGGCACTGGACCCCACTGCTCCCATTTGATACTCTTTCCTGTCTTGGCTTCTGTGACACTGTTTTATTCTGGTTTTTCTCTAAACTCTTTCTCTCTGTTTTCACTGTGTATACTTCCTCCTCTTACACATTGGCATTGCCCAAAATTGGGTTCTTGGCTGTCTTCTCTTTCTCTTTCTCCTTCCAATCACTCAACTGAATAGGTGTTTGTTCCAGAACACCCTAAATGGTGTTGGAACATTGGAATGACTCTTCTCTGTACAGACACAGCTCCTTTCTCCCCAACACATCTTCCTCTTTATCCCTAGGACATCTGAAACACCACCCTGAAAAAAAGTTCTATTCTTTCCTTATCCACCTTCCCCTGCTCTAATGTCACTTCTTCCTTTGAATGCATGATGCATTTAAACATTTTATTATGTGAAAGGTACCTTTCCAAGGTGTTACATCCTCACAACACCTATTGACTGGATATTATTATCTCTACTTTTGAATGGGGACCAGGCTTTGCTGAGGCCCAGCAACGTGCCTAGTGTCACCGCCTAATGTCACACGATTAGTAAGTGGTGGACCTGGGACTCTGAATATAAAATACCCATACAGCCTTATTTGTGCCCTCTTGGGGCACCTCTCTTACTCTGCCTTCTTCTTCTTTTTTTTTTTTTTTCAATGTTTTATTTTTGAGAGGGAGAGGAAGAGATGAGTGGAGGACAGAGAGAGAGAGGGGACAGAAGGTCCTAAGTGGGCTCTGTGCTGACAGCAGTGAGCCCGATGTGGGGCTCGAACTCACCAACCATGAGATCATGACCTGAGCTGAGGTCAGATGCTCAACAGACTGAGCCACCCAGGCATCCTTCTTACTCTGGCTTCTATACTTATTTTTGTAATTATTTAATTCCTTTGCATGCAAACTCTTGAGGACTTTCTTATTTTTCTTTTCAGCTCCTGGCATCAAGTTTATAATTTGGAATTTTGGAAGACAGTCTCAATTTCAAATATTTTATCTCACCATACAAATAAGTAGTTTTGACCCAATTTGGGGCTTGAAACTGTGGTCAGTGTATACAAATGCCTGGAGCATTGCAGGAAATCAATAAATATCTATAAAATTGAATTGAATAATTTGGGCAAACAAGCTGGGCTTATTTCAGATTTGAGTGAGAGAGACAAAAAGAGAGAGAGTAAATGATCCCAATCCAAATATAATGCTTTATTAAAACAACAAGCATAAATTTGAAGTGGTCACTGATTACTAGCACCTGTGTATGCTTTGCAAGACTGATGCAATACAGAGTAAGAAAGAACAGCTTTCTGCATCATTTCACTTCCAACATCAGAACAGAAGCGGGGGGAGAAGTCTGACCATGGTCTAATTCCTCCGTGACTGGTCTGCGACTATCTGTTCTAACCATAAAATTCTTGTTCTTATCCAATTTCTCCTCTGTTTAATTATTCTTTTTTTTTTTTAATTTTTTTTTTTTTTACGTTTATTTATTTTTTTTTGGGACAGAGAGAGACAGAGCATGAACGGGGGAGGGGCAGAGAGAGAGGGAGACACAGAATCGGAAACAGGCTCCAGGCTCTGAGCCATCAGCCCAGAGCCTGACGCGGGGCTTGAACTCACGGACCGCGAGATCGTGACCTGGCTGAAGTCGGACGCTTAACCGACTGCGCCACCCAGGCGCCCCTGTTTAATTATTCTTTAATTTCAGGGTGATTACATCCACCAATTTGTTTAAAAAAATGCTAGTATTTTCTATGTCAACACTCAAGTATAGTCTTCTCAATCCACTCCTTATGGGAAGTAGGCCTTTTTCTAGACATTTCTAGAAATTTAAAATTAGAGGTATGAACTTATTTTCTTGCTCAATTAGCACCAATTCCCTGAGATTGTACAGAGAGACCTCCTGTTCTCATCTATACCATTTCCCAAATCAATGGCT